ATTTACTGTATAAAGTTACTTCAGTTATCATTGATTTTCTCCCTTTGTAAGTGCAGTTCCCGGCTGTTATGACCCCGCATGCATGTGTTTAAAGGGTGATTGTCTATTTTAATCGGGGTATGAAACAAAAAATGAATTAAAAAAGAAAAATAAAATTTTCCAAAATTTTTAATTTAAAATTTAAAAAATAACATAATTCGGTTTTATGACAATATAAGAAACCTTAAAGTAATTCATTAACAACTGGTTTTTTTAACATTATATCTCTTTTAAAAAGGCCTAAAGATAATCACTAATAAAAAAATTAACTAGGGAGTATGGGGGTTGTGTGTGCAGTATTGTCATACCTGTAATTTATACAGTATATGTTGAAAAAATTATATAAGCAACATATATGATTTTTTTTAACAGTGCTTTTAACAGGGTCATCTAAAAAAAGGTTTTTTTTTCCATAATAACATTATTACATATACATATACTTTTTTTCATACTTGAAAAAACCAAATTAGAAAAACATAGGGGAGACTTAAGATTAAAAATAATTAAGTAGTTAAAAGAAAAGGGATACAGTGGACCCCCGGGTTTGCATGCATCGGTACCGATAAATCCGGGAACCGATGCATTATATCGCAGAAAATTTGCCTCGCTTCCGATACAAAACCCCGGGATCGAGTGGTTCGTATGAGACGGTCCCTGATGGCCTGAAATGCCCCGGTTGCCAGTGTTTACAAGCCACCAGTGTGCGCCATCTAAAGGGAAAACGGTACTTCCCAATTTTCCATATTATCAATGTTTTTTTGGTGCCTGTTTTTTCAAAATAATCACCATGGGCCCCAAAAAAGCTCCAGTGCCAAGCCTTTTAGACCAAGGTGCTAAGACTGTTTAAATGAAGAAAGGATAATTTCAAAGTATGAAAGTGGAGTCGCGGTCGGGCTGGTCAGGGTTTTATAGTAAACCCCATTCAACCCTCTTCATAGTGAGCAAGAAAACGGCAATCAAGGGAAACTGTTTTTGCAAAAGGTGCAACTGTGATTTCGAAACAGCAACCCGCAATGTTAGGAAATGTGAGAACTGTTATTGGTGGGGAAAAGAAAAAAGACAGCAGGAAAAGGGCTTGCTAATCAAACCCCAATGGGGGGATCCCCCTTTTAAAGCTAACACTTTCCCCCTTTTTCCCCCCCCCTCCTCCCCTCAATCCCACCAGACTTCATTAAAGGGAAATGCAATTTTCTTTCGTTATTTTTTTGTTATTGTTGTTTTGTAATTACTATTCTTTGCTTAAACTTAATATTTCTGTGGTAAAAATTTTTTTTTTTATACTTTTTTTTTTTTCTTTTCCGGGTTAATTTGATTTCCATTTTTTTTTTATGGGGGAAAAATTTATTCGTTTCCGATATTTTTGGTTTTTGATGACTCTCAGGGGCGGTTTTTGTATCGTGAACTGGGGGTCCACGTATTTCAAATAATATTTAAAAGTAAATTTAAAAAAGTTATATGGAGATAAAATTAAGGACAATGAATAAGTAATAACTCTTGATTGTTGCAACAGATATAGAGGTAAGAAATTATTTGTATTTTAGAAGTGTATTTATTTCTGTAAGTGAAACTTTCATTTTTTTTTGGGGGGGGGGGCCACCCTGCCTTGGTGGGATATGGCTGGTTTGTTGAAAAAAAAAAATGATTTCTGTCATGAAATATTATTTGCATCACAATAGGAATAGTTATACAGTGGACCCTCGCCTAACGAACGCATCGCATAACATTAAATCTGCCTAACGATACATTTTAATGCAAAATTTTTGCCTCGGCTAGCGCTAAAAAACTCGCTCAACGTGATTCGTTCGAGACACGTCCACGTGTGGCCTGAGCCCGCCTCACTTGTTCCGTGGGTGCCAGTGTTTACAAGCCAGCCACCGCGGTCGCTTCCAAGCATACAATCGGAACATTTCATATTATCACAGCCTTTTTAGTGATTGCACCTGCAAAATAAGTCACCATGGGCCCCAAGAAAGCTTCTAGTGCCAACCCTACAGCAAAAAGGGTGAGAATTACTATGGATATGAAGAAAGAGATCATTGCTAAGTATGAAAGTGTGTTCAGGAAAAACAGTGTCCTCAAGGCTAATTTGTGTGTGCTGTGGAGGGCAAACAGTAGGGCATGGGTCACTAAGGACTTTCTCTATGACTAGTTACACCATGCACTTGCCCCCACTGTGAAAAATTACCTAACTGAATAGAAATTAGACCTTAAGTGCCTCCTGGTATTAGACAATGCTCCTGGTCATCCTTCAGACGTGGCATAGCAACTTTCTGCAGAAATGAGCTTCATTAAGGTCAAGTTTTTGCCTCCTAATACCACTCCTCTCCTGAAGCCCATGGACCAGCAGGTCATTTCCAGCTTCAAGAAACTGTACACAAAAGCTATGTTTGAAAGGTGCTTTGTAGTGACCTCAGAAATTCAATTGACTCTAAGAGAGTTTTGGAGAGATCACTTTAGCATCCTCAATTCTGTAAACATTATAGGTAAGGCTTGGGAGGAAGTGACTAAAGGACCATGAACTCTGCTTGGAAGAAACTGTGGCCAAAATGTGTAGACAAAAGGGATTTTGAGGGGTTTGAGGCTAACCCTGGGAATCCTATGCCAGTTGAGGAATCCATTGTGGCATTGTTGGATGTTAGTGGGGAGGATGTGGAAGAGTTGGTGGAGGAGGACAATGAAGAACTAACCACTGATGAGCTGCTAGATCATCTTCAACAGCAAGAGGCCACACCTGAGGAAACTGCTTCGGAGGAGGGGATAGAGAAATTAAGAAGTTGCCTACTTCAAAGATTAAGGAAATGTGTGCAGTGTGGCTTAAAGTGCAAACCTTTTTTGATGAAAATCACCCTCACACAGCTATTGGAAGCCGTGCTGGTGACTATTACACTGACAATGTTGTGAAACACTTTAGGAATGTCATAAAGGAACGGGAGGTACAGGCCTCTATGGACAGATATGTTGTGCGACAGAGGTCCAGTGACTCTCAAGCTGGTCCTAGTGGCATTAAAGGAAGAAGGGAAGTAACCCCGGAAAAGGACTTGACACCTCAAGTCCTAATGGAAGGGGATTCCCCTTCTAAACATTAACACCATCCACAGTCTCCCCTCCTCCAATCCCATCAATCATCACCAGATCTTCAATGAAGGTAAGTGTCATGTAACTGTGCATGTCTTCTTCAGTTTGTGTGTATTAAAATTAATATTTCATGTGGTAAAAATTTTTTTTTGTTCATACTTTGGGGTGACAGGAACGGATTAATTTGATTTCCATTATTTCTTATGGGGAAACTTAATTCGGCTAACGATAATTTCGCCTAACGTTGAACTCTCAGGAACAGATTACAGTGGACCCCTGGTTCGCGATACTAATCCGTTCCTGAGAGCTCATCGTAAACCAAAAATATCGGAAAGCGAATCAATTTTTCCCCATAAGAAATAATGGAAATCAAGTTAATCCGTGCAAGACACCCAAAAGTATGAAAAAAAAAAACTTTTACCACATGAAATATTAAGTTAATGCAATAGAATAGTAATTACAATAACAACAATAACAATAAATAATGAAAGAATAATTGACACTTACCTTTAATGAAGATCTGGTGATGATTGATGGGATGGGAGGAGGGGAGTGTGTGGATGGTGTTAGCATTTAGAAGGGGAATCCCCCTCCATTAGGACTTGAGGTAGCAAGTCCTTTTCTGGGGTTACTTCCCTTTTAATGCCACTAGGACCAGGTTGAGAGTCACTGGACCTCTGTCGCACAACATATCTGTCCATAGAGGCCTGTACCTCTCGTTCCTTTATGACTTTCCTAAAGTGGTTCACAACATTGTCAGTGTAATAGTCACCAGCATGGCTTGCAATAGCTGTCTGAGGGTGATTTTCATCCATTTCATCTCTGGGAGTTTCTGAGTGATACACCAATAAAGGCTTCACTTTGCAATCACCACTAGCATTGGAACACATCAACAGAGTAAGCCTGTCTTTCATTGGCTTATGTCCTGGGAGTGCCTTTTCCTCCTGAGTAATGTAGGTCCTGCTTGGTAATTTCTTCCAAAACAGGTCTGTTTCGTCACAATTAAACACTTGTTCAGGTTTCAATCCTTCAGCCTCTATGTACTCCTTGAATTCATGCACATATTTTTCAGCCGCTTTGTGGTCTGAACTGGCAGCCTCACCATGCCTAATCACACTATGTATACCACTACGATTCTTAAATCTTTCAAACCAACTTTTGCTGGCCTTGCATTCACTCACATCACCACTAGTTGCAGGCAATTTTTTTACCAAATCGTCTTGCAACTGCCTAGCCTTTTCACAAATGATTGCTTGAGAAATGCTATCTCCTGCTATCTGTTTTTCATTTATCCACACCAATAACAGTCTCTCAACATTTTCTAACACTTGCAGTCGCTGTTTCGTAATCACAGTTGCACCTTTTGCAAGAACAACTTCCTTGATTGCCGTTTTCTTGCTCACTATAGTAGAGATGGTTGATTGGGGTTTACTATACAACCTGACCAGCTCCGACACACGCACTCCACTTTCGTACTTTGCAATTATCTCTTTCTTCATTTCAACAGTCATTAGCACCCTTGGTCTCGAAGGGTTGGCACTGGGAGCTTTCTTGGGGCCCATGGTGACTTATTTTGCAAAAACAGGCACCAAAAACAGTGATAATATGGATAATATGGAATGTACTGAATGTATCCTTAGATGCGCGCACACTGGCTGGCTTGTAAACACTGGCACACACGGGGCAGTTCAGGCCACACATGGACACGTCTCGTACGAACCACATCGCATTCCGGGTTTTGTATCGGGAAGCGAGGCAAATTTTCTGCGATATAATGCATCGGTTACCGGATTTATCGGATACCGATAGCATCGCGAACCAGGGGTCCACTGTAATAGTGTTAGGCGAGGGTCCACTGTATTAATATAATTACATATCTTCAACAGAGCTACGTGTGGGGCTCGCACTCTAGCAGGCATCACTGGATTCACAGCAATATTAGCAGTCATAGGTGAGTGCTGCATCATCACTGATGATGATATCAGTCTGAGAGTAGGGATGATTATTGCTTCATGATGATTATTATTCTCTTAAGAATATAGACAAATATAGATAAGCACTGCACCACAGTAAGCAGAGGCACACTAGTATTCATTGCCCCGGAAATAAATATTAAGCTGACACCATAAAAGACATCTTTGAATTTCAGTATTGCCCATGGGCAATACTCGCGTTACTGTAGGAGGCTACAGTTTGTGTGGTGTTCTCTCCAATTTTGGGTTTTCCAGTTGGATTTTTAATGGCTTACATTTTGGTTACCATTGATGGTATTGTAATGAAGCCCTGTAAGCTTAGTATACAAGAGAAGACTTCTCTTTTGGCCCTGGCAAGAGAAGGACATTGGATAATGATGAACAGTGATTATTTAAAATCTCCTGATAGTATGCCTTCAAGAATTTAACAAGTAATTAAAGTTAAAGGTAAAATGAGCCAGCATTAGTTTACAAGAATGAAGTAAATACCGTAAGTGTTCATTCTTTGTTTTATTTATTCTTTTATTAATATTTTGTATGCAAAATTGTTTAATGTCAGCATTTTTTTTTTTGCTGGCACTGTAGATAGTAAAAGGCAGGGTTTCCAGATGTCAGTGACCCCAAAGCTCCATTTTGTATAAAAATTCTTTTTATAGCAAAGTAAATTTATCATTCTTTTAATTTTTTTTTAATTTTATTATGAATTATTTTCAGTAATATGCATAAATAGAATTTAAATATATAAATACTGTTTAAACATGCCATATACAATAGGGCCCTGCTTTACAGCATTCTGCTAATACAGACATTTCAAATTATGACCAAACACCTCTATATGACTCCCCCCACCTGACTTTCTAATAAGGCCACTGCGCCCCACCCGGTTTGTTTACATTCTCCGTGAGCATCACATCTCTCCATTATGTCTGGAAACTTTCCAAAATTTCAAGTGTTTTAACGTTATTTCATGTTTTATATATACATACATACTCTGAAAATTATACTTATGTGTACCTCTCCCTAAATAAACTTACACTGTACTGGCATGCAGGTACACATTAAAAATCACTAAGAGTGTCTTATTATCCTTGAGGATGCCATATTAACATAATTTTTTTTTCTAACACATTGGCTGTTTCCCATGAAGGCAGGGTGGCCCAAAAAAAGAAAAACTTTATCATCACTCCATCACTGTCTTGCCAGAGGCATGCTTACACTACAGTTATAAAACTGCAACATTAACACCCCTCCTTCAGAGTGCTAGCACTGTAATTCCCATCTCCAGGAATCAAGTCCGGCCTGCCAGTTTCCCTGAATCCCTTCATAAATGTTACCTTACACTTAAACAGCATGTCAAATCCTAAAAACCATTTGTTTCCATTCGCACCTTCGTAACATGCTCTCGCACACTTGCTGGAAGTCCAGTCCCCTTACACGCAAAACGTCGTTTACCCCCTCCCTCCAACCTTTCCTAGGCCGACCCCTACCCCGCCTTCCCTCCACAGATTTATATACGTACTCTCGAAGTCATTCTATTTCGTTCCACCCTCTCTACATGTCCAAACCATCTCAGAAACTCCTCCTCAGCCCTCTGGATAATAGTTTTGGTAATCCCACACCTCCTCCTAATTTCCAAACTACAGATTCTCTGCATTAAATTATTTACACCACACATTGCCGTCAGACATGACATCTATACTGCCCCCAGCTTTCTCCTTGTTGAAACATTCACAACCCATGCCTCACACCCATACAAGAGCATTGGTATAACTATACTCTCATACAATCCTCTCTTTGCTTTCATGGATAAAGTTCTTTGTCTCCACAGACTCCTCAGTGCACCACTCACCTTTTTCCCCTCATCAGTTCTCTAATTCACCTCATCCTTCATAGACCAATCTGCTGACACGTCCACTCCCAAATATCTGAACACATTCACCTCCTTCATACTCTCTCCCTCCAATCTGATATCCAATCTTCCGTTACCTAATTCTTTTATTATCCTCGTCACCTAACTCTTTCCGATATTCACTTTTAACTTCCTTCTTTTACATAACCTACCAAACTCATTAACCATCCTCTACAACTTCCCTTCAGAATCTCCCAAAAGCACAGTGTCATCAGCAAAGAGCAACTGTGACAACTCCCACTTTGTTAGATTCTTTATCTTTTAACCCCATACCTCTTGCCAACACCCGAGCATTCACTTCTCTTACTACTCCATCAACATAAGAACATAAGAAAGGAGGAGCACTGCAGGAGGCCTGTTGGCCCATACTAGGCAGGTCCTTCACAATTCATCCCACTAACAAAACATTTGCCCAACCCAATTTTCAATGCTACCCAAGAAATAAGCTTTGATGTGAAAGTCCCACTCAAATCCAACCCCTCCCACTCATGTACTTATCCAACCTAAATTTGAAACTACCCAAAGTCCTAGCCTCAATAACCCAACTAGGTAGACTGTTGAGATTCTGATTACCTCATCTTCTGTACACAGTTCTCCCGTCTTCAAGCCATGTCCTGGAATTTGCATTGACAAAGCCACTGGATGGTGAAACGTCTACAATAAAGATACCCAGATGTTGCACATGTCTCAATTTCATCTTGTCGGTATTGTATACCATTCTTGTTGAAGATTGAACAATTGAACAACCATGGTGACATCACACATCCCTGTCTAAGGCCTACTTTTACTGGGAAATAATCTCCCTCTCGCCTATATACTTTAACCTGAGCCTCACTGTCCTCGTAAAAACTTTTCACCGCTTTCAATAACATACCTCCTATTCCATACATTTGCAACATCTGCCACATTGCCCCCTATCCACCCTATCATATGCCTTTTCCAAATCCATAAATGCCAGAAAAAGCTCTTTACCCTTATCTAAATATTGTTCACCTATATTTTTCACTGCAAACACTTGGTCTATGCACCCCTACCTTTCCTAATATCAGAAGAAGCAGGTGATAAAAATAATATATTACTGTATCATCAATATTTATTGCAGTACATATATATAATCTATGAATTGTCAGATGGACAGTTTCTAAGAGGTAATTAATTTATAATATGATTTTATCACTTAGATATTTGATTGATAATATCCTTTCAGGGTTGAGTTTGCAACTTGGCATTGGCCTAACAGAGATGTATAGAAGAGATATTGCAAGCTTGTGGGAGCTGGCCCACCCCTTCCTCATCCCTCAAGGCAACACACTGCTGCAGCCACGGGTCAGCCTCCTCCTCTTGCCAGTCAAACAGTAGCTTCACCTGAAACATGTATTAAAATTATTTAATTTTACACTTAGGAGATGTCATGACAATAATAAGTATATTATTATAGAGTATGATTATTGGAAGTAATGTACATACAAGACATGGTAGAGATTTGATCTTTCTCTGTTAAGTGCGAGATGCATGCTGCACCTAGCAGTGTGTTACCTAGCTGTACTTGCTCTTTCTTTCTTTCAACACACCGGCCATATCCCACCGAGGCAGGGTAGCCCAAAAGGAAAAACGAAAGTTTCTCCTTTTACATTTAGTAATATACAGAAGGGGTTACTAGCCCCTTGCTTCTGGCAAGGGGCTTACGGAGGAAGAATTCTGTTCCACTTCCCCATGGAGACTTGCTCTTATAATAGGTTGCCTTGTAGCAGTATAGATGAAGAATTTTACTTAATTTTATTCCCTTAATTGTTAGTGAATAATAAACATATACATGTATTCCATAATTTTATATCAATTATTTAATTTGTCAACTATCACCATGTTTGTCTTTTTATTGTTGAATTCAATACTATAAGGTAGTAGGTTGGTAGACAGCAACCACCCAGGGAAGTACTACCGTCCTGCCAGATGACTGTGAAACAAAAACCTGTAACTGTTTTGCATGATGGTAGGATTGCTGGTTTTCTTTTTCTGTCTCATAAACACGCTAGATAACAGGGATATCTTGCTACTCCTACTTACACTTTGGTCACACTTCACAGACACGCACATGCATATATATATATACATACATCTAGGTTTTTCTCCTTATTCTAAATAGCTCTTGTTCTTTTTTATTTCTTCTATTGTCCATGGGGAAGTGGAAAAGAATCTTTCCTCCGTAAGCCATGCGTGTCGTATGAGGCGACTAAAATGCCGGGAGCAATGGGCTAGTAACCCCTTCTCCTGTATACATTTACTAAAAAAGAGAAGAAGAAAAACTTTATAAAACTGGGTTGTTTAAATGTGCGTGGATGTAGTGCGGATGACAAGAAACAGATGATTGCTGATGTTATGAATGAAAAGAAGTTGGATGTCCTGGCTCTAAGCGAAACAAAACTGAAGGGGGTAGGAGAGTTTCAGTGGGGGGAAATAAATGGGATTAAATCTGGAGTATCTGAGAGAGTTAGAGCAAAGGAAGGGGTAGCAGTAATGTTAAATGATCAGTTATGGAAGGAGAAAAGAGAATATGAATGTGTAAATTCGAGAATTATGTGGATTAAAGTAAAGGTTGGATGCGAGAAGTGGGTCATAATAAGCGTGTATGCACCTGGAGAAGAGAGGAATGCAGAGGAGAGAGAGAGATTTTGGGAGATGTTAAGTGAATGTATAGGAGCCTTTGAACCAAGTGAGAGAGTAATTGTGGTAGGGGACCTGAATGCTAAAGTAGGAGAAACTTTTAGAGAGGGTGTGGTAGGTAAGTTTGGGGTGCCAGGTGTAAATGATAATGGGAGCCCTTTGATTGAACTTTGTATAGAAAGGGGTTTAGTTATAGGTAATACATATTTTAAGAAAAAGAGGATAAATAAGTATACACGATATGATGTAGGGCGAAATGACAGTAGTTTGTTGGATTATGTATTGGTAGATAAAAGACTGTTGAGTAGACTTCAGGATGTACATGTTTATCGAGGGGCCACAGATATATCAGATCACTTTCTAGTTGTAGCTACACTGAGAGTAAAAGGTAGATGGGATACAAGGAGAATAGAAGCATCAGGGAAGAGAGAGGTGAAGGTTTATAAACTAAAAGAGGAGGCAGTTAGGGTAAGATATAAACAGCTATTGGAGGATAGATGGGCTAATGAGAGCATAGGCAATGGGGTCGAAGAGGAATGGGGTAGGTTTAAAAATGTAGTGTTAGAGTGTTCAGCAAAAGTTTGTGGTTACAGGAAAGTGGGTGCAGGAGGGAAGAGGAGCGATTGGTGGAATGATGATGTAAAGAGAGTAGTAAGGGAGAAAAAGTTAGCATATGAGAAGTTTTTACAAAGTAGAAGTGATGCAAGGAGGGAAGAGTATATGGAGAAAAAGAGAGAGGTTAAGAGAGTGGTGAAGCAATGTAAAAAGAGAGCAAATGAGAGAGTGGGTGAGCTGTTATCAACAAATTTTGTTGAAAATAAGAAAAAGTTTTGGAGTGAGATTAACAAGTTAAGGAAGCCAGAGAACAAATGGATTTGTCAGTTAAAAATAGGAGAGGAGAGTTATTAAATGGAGAGTTAGAGGTATTGGGAAGATGGAGGGAATATTTTGAGGAATTGTTAAATGTTGATGAAGATAGGGAAGCTGTGATTTCGTGTATAGGGCAAGGAGGAATAACATCTTGTAGGAGTGAGGAAGAGCCAGTTGTGAGTGTGGGGGAAGTTCGTGAGGCAGTAGGTAAAATGAAAGGGGGTAAGGCAGCCGGGATTGATGGGATAAAGATAGAAATGTTAAAAGCAGGTGGGGATATAGTTTTGGAGTGGTTGGTGCAATTATTTAATAAATGTATGGAAGAGGGTAAGGTACCTAGGGATTGGCAGAGAGCATGCATAGTTCCTTTGTATAAAGGCAAAGGGGATAAAAGAGAGTGCAAAAATTATAGGGGGATAAGTCTGTTGAGTATACCTGGTAAAGTGTATGGTAGAGTTATAATTGAAAGAATTAAGAGTAAGACGGAGAATAGGATAGCAGATGAACAAGGAGGCTTTAGGAAAGGTAGGGGGTGTGTGGACCAGGTGTTTACAGTGAAACATATAAGTGAACAGTATTTAGATAAGGCTAAAGAGGTCTTTGTGGCATTTATGGATTTGGAAAAGGCGTATGACAGGGTGGATAGGGGGGCAATGTGGCAGATGTTGCAAGTGTATGGTGTAGGAGGTAGGTTACTGAAAGCAGTGAAGAGTTTTTACGAGGATAGTGAGGCTCAAGTTAGAGTATGTAGAAAAGAGGGAAATTTTTTCCCAGTAAAAGTAGGCCTTAGACAAGGATGTGTGATGTCACCGTGGTTGTTTAACATATTTATAGATGGGGTTGTAAGAGAAGTAAATGCGAGGGTCTTGGCAAGAGGCGTGGAGTTAAAAGATAAAGAATCACACACAGGGTGGGAGTTGTCACAGCTGCTCTTTGCTGATGACACTGTGCTCTTGGGAGATTCTGAAAAGAAGCTGCAGAGATTGGTGGATGAATTTGGTAGGGTGTGCAAAAGAAGAAAATTAAAGGTGAATACAGGAAAGAGTAAGGTTATGAGGATAACAAAAAGATTAGGTGATGAATGATTGAATATCAGATTGGAGGGAGAGAGTATGGAGGAGGTGAACGTATTCAGATATTTGGGAGTGGACGTGTCAGCGGATGGGTCTATGAAAGATGAGGTGAATCATAGAATTGATGAGGGAAAAAGAGTGAGTGGTGCACTTAGGAGTCTGTGGAGACAGAGAACTTTGTCCTTGGAGGCAAAGAGGGGAATGTATGAGAGTATAGTTTTACCAACGCTCTTATATGGGTGTGAAGCATGGGTGATGAATGTTGCAGCGAGGAGAAGGCTGGAGGCAGTGGAGATGTCATGTCTGAGGGCAATGTGTGGTGTGAATATAATGCAGAGAATTCGTAGTTTGGAAGTTAGGAGGAGGTGCGGGATTACCAAAACTGTTGTCCAGAGGGCTGAGGAAGGGTTGTTGAGGTGGTTCGGACATGTAGAGAGAATGGAGCGAAACAGAATAACTTCAAGAGTGTATCAGTCTGTAGTGGAAGGAAGGCGGGGTAGGGGTCGGCCTAGGAAGGGTTGGAGGGAGGGGGTAAAGGAGGTTTTGTGTGCGAGGGGCTTGGACTTCCAGCAGGCATGCGTGAGCGTGTTTGATAGGAGTGAATGGAGACAAATGGTTTTTAATACTTGACGTGCTGTTGGAGTGTGAGCAAAGTAACATTTATGAAGGGATTCAGGGAAACCAGCAGGCCGGACTTGAGTCCTGGAGATGGGAAGTACAGTGCCTGCACTCTGAAGGAGGGGTGTTAATGTTGCAGTTTAAAAACTGTAGTGTAAAGCACCCTTCTGGCAAGACAGTGATGGAGTGAATGATGGTGAAAGTTTTTCTTTTTCGGGCCACCCTGCCTTGGTGGGAATCGGCCAGTGTGATAATAAAAATAATAAGTGAATGTTGCCAACTTCTGTTTAATAATATTTCTGATTTAAGAAAAAACTTGAAACAGCACACTGTGAGTAGAAGTAGTTTTATCAAATAAGTTGTAATAAAGAATATATGAACAGTACATTGACTGCAGTGATTCACAAGTAATCCAAAACTTGAAAATGAAACAATAACGTTTCCCTCCTGGACCATCATAAATCATGACGTAATAATGGTTCAGGATGGAGTGAAATTTCATCTTCTTTTAATGTCCAATTTGTAGATTAATTACAAATGGGTTATGATATGTCCACTCCAATGAAATGCTTGCAATTGTTTGTGTTGCAGGTTTGGTGTGCTGCTCTGGCTCATGTACTGCTCTCACTTGGCCTTGGTGTTGGCCTCCTCATGAACTTCTCCTCCAGGGGATCCTTCAGGTTCACACTCAGACGGTCAGTGAGTCTTGAGGCTAAATAATTGGATGACAAATGCAGCATTCATAAATATGTGCATAACTATTATAAATTATGCAGGGTTTTATTTTCTACAATTTTGAACGATCACTTTAAAATGTCATTATTGTATATTATTAATAGAGGATAAGTAGTGTGTAAAGGAGGGGTTAGAGATATTTGCTGTTTGGAGGGACATCTGAACTGTTGTATCTGCATGTTTCTGGCACAACAGTGATAGTGAATAATTTTGAAAGTGTTTTTTTCGGGTTACCCTGCCTTGGTGGGAAACGGCCAGCATGTTAAAAAAAGAAAGTAGTGTGTGGTTTACTTTAATTTATTTTAAGAATATAAGATTTGAAGTATAATATGTTGAATGCTTATATAGAGCTAAGAAACTTTTCAACAGTCAAAATTTTTATAGAAGTGTATATAATTACTACATAGTAATATTACTGTCATTCTATTATACCATATTTATTTTTTTTTTATCTCTGCTGAAGGTTGACATATAATTAATTTAATGTTTCAGACATTTGTGGGGGTTATTGGTGTTGGTTGTAGTTATGACAGCATTAGTGACTATGGTGAGTGTGTTGCAGCTCACACTACTGGCCAGTGATAGAGGACTCAGTGTGCACCAAGCACTTTCTTCTCTCAGGTATGTTGCTTCACTCATACTTACGTGCATACTAAGTGGCTGTCACATAGAACTACGTCATTGAGGCCAGAGTCCCTTGCATAGTTCTACATCACGAGCTCAGCTCACTAAGATAAGCTGTAAGCTGTAAATTTTGGCCTAGATATGAGAGAATATATTTGTGGTGAGTGTGCACAGTATAATGAGCTTCTCATTAATGCCTCTGATCAGTCTCTCTCATTACAAATATTCTATGCACTATTTTAATGATATTGGTAAATTTTACAAATTTATTGTTACTATAGATTTCTCATATTAATGATTCTTAAAGCAATTTCTTTGTACCTGCACTTTCTAATAAATTTGTAATTTTTGAAAGAATGAATAAATTGTTAATTCATCTTCCAGTTTTATCCTATTGAGGTCCTATACATTGATTCAATATCTGCATATACAGTATATGGTGTAGTGTGGTAGTAAGAATCATTGACTGTACAACACATTAACACTTATTTAATGAAGCTTTTCACAAACAGGTACAAGTATAACAACGCAACTGTTGCTGGGGACAATTTTGTGGAGATAATTGATGAGAGAGCTGTTGGTGTTAGTGTTGGAGCTGCAGTCATCACAGCTTCACATTTAATGGCTGTGGTCACCTTTCCCTTTGTTTGGCTGAAACAAGCAGTGTCTACTATAATTTTCATTGGTAAGAACTGTAAGGTGTTGGAAATGAGTATTGAATTTTATTTTGTCCAGTGAAATGGCCAAGAATTTGGTCAAAAGCTGCAATGAAATTGACTTAAAATAAAACTCAGTCAGGGAAATCACAGATGCATAAATTGTGCCCAGACAAACACTTTACATTTGCATAAGTCCATAAATTTTCAATCAAATTTCATGCTTTTGGTATCATTACCTTCAGAAAAAGATTATCTACCATTGCAGAAGAATTTTTGTTTTTTTAATGTGGACACGGAGCAACTGTTTAGTATGACCTACTTCCACTAATGGATCCAGCTCACTGGAGACCTCATCTCCAAGCTGCTACACCTTGCTATCCAGTATTCAAGCCTTTGGCCACTTGCTTCTGCACTAGGCTAAGAGACTTAGCTTGCTCTAAGAGTGATGAACTGATTACATCAATCACCTCTTCACTTCGTCCTCCACCAGTGATATCTTTGTAAATGACTGATGAAGCCTAGTGCAGGTGAAACATTTTGTCAATAAAGTTTTCTAGTGCTGCTCATGTGTATTGCTCTTCAAGTTGTCGGTATTGTATACCATTTGTTTCATTATCTTTACAGGTCTTTGGTGCAGTGGGGTGACTACTGGTACTGTGTGTGTCCACACATTAATAGCAGCATTGAGAGATGCACGTGATTGTCTCCCCCGAGCCACGGCAGCACTAATACTGGCACCACTACTGTTGACTGCTGCAACGCCTTCAGTTACCAAGGTAACCACTATTGGCTGCAACAGTATGTGGTCCCGTATGAACAGCCACCAAGTTCATATGCCCCACCCATGTCCATTGCTGTGGTCATACCTGTTGCTGATCAGGTAACCAGTTAGACTTATTCTTTTGGATATACCTATACCCTTAGCAATTATTTTAAATTTTTTCTTAAATTGTTAATTGTATAGTTATGTGCAGTAGTGCACTCCCTGTCCTCACATCCAGTAGCTTAACCAGTAATCGCTTGTATTTTCTGTCTGTAGAGTCTGTCATAATTAGGATAAGTTGAACTGCTGTTCTAGAAGAGAAAGTACCATTGTTTAGATATGGATAGCATTAATTTGCAGATGTTAAGTTCTTTTGTATGCCTATTTTATTGTTGTAAAATGGGTGATTTACATATTAGATTTATTTATTAATATGTTTGTTTAGATAGATAACATGACTAAATTGTAGAGTAACACTGACATTGCTGGGTTGAACACAGGGTGGAGCCGCAGTTGTGGCCTTGCTGGATGGAGATGTATTGACACCGGTGGTGTTGTGGCCACCTTTTACACTTACTCTTGCCATTACTGCCATTTATGGTAAGTAATTCTAGCTGTTATTGTCACACTTAATATCTTGGTCATTAGAAATGCATATGCATTATTTAATTTTTATAGGCTGTACTTGAAATTTTGGGGCAGTATATTTTTTTGTAGGATAGTTGAAATGTGAATTGAACCTTATCAAGTATACTGGGTAATGACTACACTACAGATTTTGTTTATGAATAAAAAATGTTTTCCAGAGTCTGTTCTATGAAAAACAATGGTTTTGTAAACTAGCAGAAAGGCCTCTATAATTGTACTATTTAGAATCTAAAATTCACCAAAATCCTGCTCTTAGGAGAGGAACCTGAGTGATATTTCAGTCTGCCCTGGACTGTTGTCAAATCATAACTAAATGAGAAAAAAAAGCAGAGAAGGCAAGGAAACAGAACAGGGGTAGGGAGTAGTAGTAGTTAGTAGTATAGCAGTGGTGGTGGTAGTAGCCATAGCAGTAATGGTAAAATAAATGGTATAAGTAATAGTAAGAGTGGTAGTAGAGAAAGAATGAGTAATAGTGGTAATGCAAGAGAACAGAGGAGCAGTGTAAGAAGGCTGCTGTCCAGTGGGCATAGGGTAAATCCCCCATAAGATGAAACTCCCACAGGACAAAACCCAATAAGGCATAGTGAATAGATAGTTATCTTTATATAGTTTGATAAACGATATAGGATGGAGTTGTCTTAGGGACAGTATATAATGGTAAACATACATTTAAGAACTTTATGTATTGCAATACTTAATAAAGATCTTAACAGATTAAGTCATAAAGGATACAAAAGTATGCATATACTGTATTTACTCATTAGGCAAGTGAAATAATTGAAGTTTGATGAATCTCTTATTAGCAGAGCACAGAAAGGTACAGTACAGTAGAACTCCCAATATCCATGGATTTGGTATCCATGATTTTGGTTATCCACAGTTTACTGTGGCCCAAAAATAACCCTTAATTATGCTTAATAATGGCCCCAAAGTGCAAAAGTAGTGAAGCTGGCAGTTCTTCAAAGGCTAAGTTGTGAAATGCTTCCCATCAGTGGAAATGTGCTAATTCTAGATGTATTTTGCATAATATATCAATTAAACTTTATCATAGGTACATATGTAAATGAAAAATGACTTGTGTAAATTTGCTACTATTCACGGTAGGTCTTGGAACATATTCCCTGTGGATATGGGGGGGAGGGCTACTGCATATTGGACAGTGTTGTTGAACCATCTGGTTTCTGGCCTGTATGTTAACCAGTCTTATTATCATGAGTGTCCCTATGGTATGATGTGAGCCAGTGATCTAAGTTGAGTACTGCTCTGTATACTAATTACAACAGTTTCCTTGCATCTATCTCTGTTCCTTTATTTTTACATCGAGCTTAGTGGCCATGGTGTTACGTGTAATGTTTAGCCTGATGAACTAAGCATGTGTTGTTGGTCCTACAAGCATATTGGTGTTTAGGTTGTGTAAAGTTTAAAACATGTACTGTTTGTCACATATTGTGTTGACAACTTCTTTTAATTGTTGTATTGATTCATTATAACTTTAGCCATTTTGTCTTTCGTGTGTTGTCTTTTGGTGACCTTTAATTTGAATTATATTACATTTCAGGGATACATAAAGTTCGCAAGGACTTCACTTTCATGTTGGAAGCAACGGTCAGCTTGCTGTGGATTCCAGTCTGGGGTGTCTTTATTCCTCTCTCTCTTCTGGTTGGTACTTTTACTTTATTGATTTTAAATCTAACCATATGAGGAATTTTCTTCTATATTTTCCCATTTTCCTTTCCTTTGGGAGCATTTAAGATTCTTACAATTGCATGACAGTATATATTTCCTATATATTTTGTTCAGTTTTTCTTTTTTCCAAACATGTTGGCCATCTCCCACTGATGTAAGATGACCCAAAAAGAAAAACACCATCATTTTCACATAATCACTGTCCCCTGTAGAGGTGCTTAGATAAACAGTTCAGACATCACTTAAAACAACCAATATTCCAAACCCCTCCTATAAAGTGCAGGCATTATACTTCCCACCTCCAGGACTCAGGTCTGGCTAACTGATTTCCCCAAATCCCTTCACAAAATATTACCCTGCTCACACTCCAACAGCTTATCAGGTTCGAAAACCATTCATTTCCATTCATTCTTATCTAATACACTTACACATGCATGTCCAAGCCCCTTGCACACACAACCTCTCTTACCCCTCTCCCTCCATCCTATCCTAGGATGACCCCTACCCCTTCTCCCCTCCACTATAGATTTATACACCCTCCAAGTCATCTATTTTGCTCCATCCTCTCTAAATGACTAGACCACCTCAATAAACCCTCTTCAATTCTCCGAATAATATTTTTAGTAACTCCATACCTAATTTCCACACTACGAATTCTCTGCATAATATTCACACTACACATTGCCATTAGTTCATTTATAATCACATAGTTGTTATGACTAATTTAGAGTGCCTGCGCTCAGGAGGAGGGTGAGGATGATGCAGTTCGACTGTGATGTCTGCACACTTCTGGCAAGACAGTTATCGAATGAATGACCAATTATTTTTTTTTATCATCCTTCCTCAATGAGAAGTGGCCAGTGTTAAAATAATCTCTTGCTCATTAGATGTATAGAAGAGTGCAAATAGGAAGCCCGCTGTCTGGCACTCAGCAAATGAAGGATCAAGCCTCCACTATGTCCTAAGCTGAATGACCTACACAGGTTTAATGCTTAACATGAATTAAATACCTATCATGCTAATTAGAATTGAAGGCATGGTTTGTAAAATGAGGTTATATTTCAGGGTGTTGTGGTATGGGCTTGTGTGATGGATGGACAAGCAGTTGCAGTGACAGATGGACCAGGATGGAGAACAGCCTTGGTGTGGGCACTACGAGCTTTGGTTTTATTGCCTGTTCCCATAACTGCTATATATGTGGTTAAATCCCAACTGGCATATGGCATCATTGATGTGAGTATTTTTTTAATACCTGTAAACCTAAAATGACAGTACAGTACTGTATTTTTTAATTTTCTGTAGAATTATTTAAAAAAAAATTAAGGTTACAACAAAGTAGGATCACAGAGGAATGAGGAGGACAAGAGGTGTGTAGATAAGTATAATTTTCTAATATGGTCTAATGTAACTTGTACACAAACCAGACGTGTTCGCCTGGTTTGTTTATAAAACTCGCGTTCACCTGGTTTGTTTATATAACTCCGCGAGTGTCCTCTCTCATTTACTTGTTTTATCTTGTTTACTCACCTCTGACCCTACATTAAGACTACAAATATTTTAAGGCAAGTAATGAGTGTACTATGTGTCTTTTACTTTTTTATTGTTTTTATAATGCCTAGTTCTATTGCTAACTTAATATGTTAGTGTAAACTTATCTAGTATTTGTATGCATTTATAAGTGGAAAAAAAGGTGTTCCATTTTACGGCAATTTCTGCTTTACGGCAGTAGCCTAGAACCTAACCTGCCATATAAGTGGGGCCCTACTGTACTAGGTATTAGACAGTTATGATAATCATGGGGAGCACTAAACTCATAGGATTATAGTGCCTGTTAGGGGGGGGGGATGGAAGATATTCAGGGAACCAGAGCACAGATCAAATTCCTTAGATCAAGAGCCCCTCACCAGCAGGGTATTAGACAAGCAGTACCTGACTCATTGTCTTTAAGGAAGAAGAGGGTAGTTGGAATTCCTTAAATCAAGAGCCATTTACTGTCATAAAGGCACCCCTCTTGAAGGTATGTTCAAGCATTAACCACTATTTTTGCACACAGAAAGTGGCATCATCACTGCAGTCATCTCGAGAGTGGGGTGACTGGGGCCCCCAAGATCCAATAGAACACCATAACTGGAGGAGATGGCGAGAAGATGAAACTAGGCCTATTGCGTCTCTCAAACGCCGCTTTGCAAATCGGCCACTCACATACACTCATTCCACCCTAAGCAGTGAATCTTCATCAACTCTCACAAGACTCAGGAATAAATACCAGAGAAATGGCACTGCAAGCATCCTCTGACCAAGTTAGGTCGTGGTAGGCATCACGGCAATTCTGAATCTTAATATTATTTGTATACAGTATTTGTTATGTACTTTTCTAATCCAGCAGCTGTTATTCTTTGTAAGGTCCTTTATATTTCCTTGTGTGGGCACTGTGTATCCCATCACTTCCTGCTTCCTATTATTATTCTACTCTTTTAGTCCATGTTTATTCAGTTGACCAGTTTGTGTGTCGTGTGGGGGCAATTTTAAGTAATTATATATATTTATATATGTGTATGTGTACCGTATGCTCCCACGTATTTGTCGAGATTTTAAAACCAAATTTTTAAGCAGAGAGTCAGGAGTCAACCTGTTCATGGATACTACTTTTGAAAGGTTGAAATTCTGACACTGAGGGTCTACCACACACTAGATTCCTACTTTTTTGGTGCATCAAGGTATAAACCATACTCAGTTACTGTATTCCACCTTAAATATAGAAATAAATTTGATAATGTCCAGTAGTTCATGCTGGCCTCTTTCCTTGCTGTTTACACAACATAGAATGCAGGAGTGCTACAGAAGGCCTACGCTAGACAGGTCCTACTCACATCCAACCTTTCTCACTCGTATGTTTGTCCAACCTACTTTTAAAGTTACCCGAGGTTTTTGTTTCGGTGATCAAAGGTGGGAAAGATGAAGGCAGGTGCAGAGAAGGACATTTAAGGAAACGTTTTGTCATGAGTGGCTTCATCAATCCTGCTACAAAGCTAAATTACTATAATCATAATGACACACTAAACCCACAAGGGTCAGAGTAAGCTAAAACAGGTTAATATATAGTAGACAATGCAAGTGATCTGAAACAAAGGTGAGGTGCAGTAGGAGGTACATAAAATTACAGAAAAAATATTGGACAAATATACAAGTGGAGGGGGAGGTTGGATTTCAGCAAGACCTGTCTAACATGGGCCAGTAGCCTTACTGCAGTACTACTCTAGTCTTGTCATAATAGTTGGGGGTGAGTAGAACCTGCCTAGCATGGGCCAGTAGGCCTACTGCTGCTCCACTAGTCTTATATCTTATAATAGTTTGGTGTCAGTAGGATCTGCCTAGTTGTATATGTATGGTACACAATATTGACAAGATGAAGAATTAGACATGTGCAACTTCTGGGTGTCTTTATTGTAGACATTTCGCCATCCAGTGATTTTATCAATAACAATTCAAGACATAATAATTGGAAGACAGTAGAAATATATACAGAAGATGAGGTAATCAGTTCCTCAGCCTTGGACTTGGTGAAGAGCACCGTAGTTATGAGTCTGAAGCAAAGGCATGAAGATTGGTGCTTATATACTGGTGTCACGTGAGGGATGTATAGTAGACGAAGACAGTCACCGGTAGGCGGGATTTCCCAGTGGAAGAGGACATCTCCATAACCATCTAGCCTATGCCTTTGGTATGACCTACTTCCACAAGGAAATCCCACCTACCAGTGCTTATGTCTTGGTCTGCTACACGTCCCTCACATGATGCCAGTATATAAGCACCAATCTTCATGCCTTTGCTTCAGACTCCTCACAACTATGGTACTCTTCACCAGCTTTAAGGCTGAGGGACTGATTACCTCATCTTTTGTATATATTTCTACTGTCTTCCAATTATATCCTTGAATCAGGATCTGCCTAGCACGGACCAAGTCTACTGCAGTGTTTATTTTTTGTTACATTTTCATTTTTTCATGAGTTTTGGCTAGAACATATTTTAAATTTGAACCATTTGACCCCATTTAAAGTCCCTCAAACACTGAGGTAGATGTTTCCATGAGATATATAAAAATTTTTTGGATTTTTGGGCAAAATATCAGAGGTTGATCTATATGTGAAATCGGGTTATACTCTGGTATATACGGTATGCATATTGCATATGCTGTGTATTGTAGTGTTCATTTATATTAGGAAATGTGCATTATATATACAGTAATTAAGTACCTAGGTGACTAGAAGTTTAGTAATCTGGTCATCTACTAAGCTTAAAATATTAAAAAAAAAACTTAATTATTGAAAGTATTTTTTCCTGCTTGTAAACTAAAATGTTTTTATCAGATTTATTTCTCTTCTATAAAACAATTATTCATTTTGTAACATTTTTGTGAATAAGATTAACAAGCCACAACCTATTCAAGCCACCTCTCTTTCAGTGCTTGCTCTCCCAGTGACAGGTATCATAATATAGTAACAGGTATCACATTATGTGGATTAGATTATCCAACTGGTAATAATCCTTATTGTTTGGTCTATGCCTTGACCCCTTAAGATCCAAGTAGTCTTGTTGTGTTAAGAATGTCTAACACTAAGAGGTGCAGATATCCAGTGTGTGTATTAGTTAAGAATAGCTACATTTTCTTGTCCCTCTAGTCTCAGCAAAATTAAATACTCTAAAACTACACTTGTATATTTATGTACATGTACATGCAGTGTCAGGCTAACCCTGCAATACACTATAACAACACTCATTAAACACATCGCAGAAACCACTAGCTTCACTGTATCACTTCTACAACATGGGATTACTGCTTACTCTCCCTGGCTACCCTTTATAAACCCAGAACCAACCTTTCAAAGAGAAGCAGTGTCCTACACTCCTAGAATGGTGTCAGCTTGAATCTGCTATAGGGGGTCACAACCCACACCTCATCAAAACAATTGTCTTGTACATTATGAAATCACTATTTACCACCCAGTGACAATATTTAGTAGACAATAATATTCATGGAATCACACTGCATTAAATAACAGTTTGGTCATGGTAGGTGTTGAATGATAATTTAGTTATCAAAATGAGACTGATCAGGTGTAAAACAACTATTATTTCACCACATTCCCCCATAACTTTAAAGATATGTAAATGCTTCTTGCTCTAAACACACACAAAAAAAAATACAATTACAAGTGCTAGTCACATAAATACAGTATAGTGTTATAACAAGTATTTAATGCAGAGTGAAATGACTGGTGATCTTGCTTGCCAGATCAACAGCTGATTACTCCATAGTGCTCTTTTTATAACGAAAGTATGTCTAGCTTTTTTTCAGTTCAACTATATCACTAAAATTACAAAGTATGACAGACAGTAGAGCTGAATAAAAGGGCACTTTTGTCATTCATTCCAATTAAGTCTCTCGTGTTTTGACTAAGGCCACGGCTATGCCAAAACAATTAATTACTCTGTGCTGCATTGTACATTATTCACAAATAGAACTAAACCCAGTAGGGCCATAGAGCCTTGATGGGTTTAACACTTTTTCTCTCTGCCAAGGCAGAGTTAAGGTGATCTTATGTGTTGAAAAGTATAATAGTTTGTATTGAAGAGACCTAGATCACAATACTCTTCCACACTGTACAAGTGCATATGGCTTAACCCAATAAGGTTCTCTTACACCATCCTCACTAATTTAAAAACTGAAGAACTAAGATAATGATGGTAACAGTTTTTCTTGCCGTTTCAGAACCCCAAACGTATTTTAGCAAAAGGTTTTATATGTGTTAATTAATACTATAATTAATAAAAATGAAACAATTTAGAAATGGTGTTAGATCATTTGGTAGATACATTTAAAGCTGACAGAATAAGAACATTATTGAAGTACAGTGCAATAAAACTTAAGGCATGTCTAATAATGTCTTAACTTAATTTCAATCAAGACCAGCTGTAATTTTGCAAGTTTATAACAATTTCTTATTAACTGAACAAACATGTTATTTTTCAGTCTAATGTTTACTTTTACATATGTAATACTCTTAACATGGATGGAACATGTTCAATCCATTTATCTTTGTTTTAGTATGGTACTAAAAAAAAAAAGGTTGTTTGAAAGTGTTAATGTATTATTATTTAGAATTTAGCATACATTCCGTGACGGTATATAAATGAGCATATTTTGTTGTCATTAAGAGTTGTTGAGGATCATTTACCATTTTAGAGAATATATTTAAGTGCAACATTCATTTGTACAGTGTTTTATATTTATAGCTAGTTCAATTTACTAGAGACCTGTGATTCAATTTTGAGATTTCTGTTTTGGTTAGTGATTGTTCATTTTGGAAATATTAGCTGTGTTGAATTCTTTGCATGATAATGTGTGAGGAGTTTGTAGTCTCATACAGATTTACTGTTTATCAAAATGCTAGAGATTGTACAGAAAGACAATGAGCTTCTCTTAATAAATAATACTGGAGACCAGTCCTGTGATCTCACAATAATGGATGGCTCCCCAGTACTTACACAATTTCAGTACTTTTACAATACAGTGAAATTCTCAGTATATGTTACATTACAGTACATATAAATATGGAATTTAATGATTATCTTATTTATGCCTGCCATATTAGCTCTCAACATGCTTGTGTTAAATATTGTATGGCACCTAATGCTGATTGGTTTGATAAAATTATCATAGCCAAATCAAATTTTTCTATTAAATGTTTCTGTCCAGTCTTCAAGATGAACATATTACCATGTTTAAAAGGAAAATCTTTATTAGTCAATGAAAGTGAGAAAATAATTTACTTAGTAATCAGATGCACAGCCAGAACTTCAGTCTGGGGGGATCAAGCCAGTACTTCAGTTAGGGTAGGGGAGGGGGGACTTAAAAATCAAAAGCAGAGACTGTAATCTTCTGATCAGTTCTCTAATGAATGTGCATAGCAGATGAACTTTAACTTCTATAACACTTGCATAAAATCCTGTATGTGAATTTGCACTTCATATAAGTATTGTAATTTTAAATTTTTCATTATGTCAGTAGCAAATGAAATAATACTGAGAAATTATGCTTATTTCTTATAATTACACGAGCTTATGGGAGTCAGGAGGTGAACTCCAGCTCTTGATCCTGCGCATTAACTTTTGACCAATTATAGCCCGTGGCCTGGTGGCAAAAGCTCTCGCTTCACACGGTGAGGGTCCAGGTTCGATTCCCAGGGAATATTGAAACATTGGGCGTGTTTCCTTACACCGGTTGTCTATGTTCACCTATCAGTAAAATGGGTACCCGGGTGTTAGTCAACTGGTGTGGGTCACATCCTGGGACAAAACTGACCTAATTTGTTCAAAATGCTCTGCACAACAAGCAGCTTTCTATATAGTAGTACATCACTGATGTCAGCTAGGCCTGTATAATTTGTACATGTACTTGTAGAAATAGATATTACTGGCATTTATAAAGCTCAAAGATTCCTGATCATACATTCTTGCTTGCTTAATATAAACAGGTAAATATGTATTAGATACAGTAGACTGTAAAATGATCACTATAGATCTACTGTATGACCGAAGAGCTTCTAAAATTCAAAGGTATATTTTTTATATTTGGCCAAAAACAAAAGTTTGTGGTTCCTGAATTTGTGACTATGTTTTGGGATGGTGGTCACCCTATTGTGGATTAATGTATTGCTATAGTGATGTTGAAAATTTGGGTGCAGCTCTCCAGTGAATATAGAAATGTTTCTCTGTCATTGTATTATTGTTCAGATAACTTAAGAGGTCATCTGAATTTCATAACCAGCAAACTGGAATCTGACAGGACAGCACATCTGTATGTGAATAATTTACATTTTGGTTGCAGCAAGTGTTTTACACAGCTGCTCGACTGTTAAGCACCTGCACAGCAAAACTAGTTGCTACTGCAAGCAGTGATGCTACTTTTTTATACCCAAAAACTTTTGCCTCTGTGTAGCTGGTTTATACGAGGCATTGGTAAGTACAGCTGCATTTATTGTTTAGTTTTGCAAATACTATAAACTGAAGTGGGCTTTGTTACATGTCTGCAGATTTGTGTGCATGACTAAAAATACCATATATAGGTAATAAATAAGTACTGAATGTACAATACATGCATGTCCCTACACCTGTACTGAGAGCCGAATTCATCTGGCATCAGGCAAGTATTTGCCCATCAATCACTGGAATAACTCTCAATACAACATCTTTGAGTACTGGACAGAACATTTACATTGACACCAGCACAAGATAGGGCAGTGCACAGTGCAAACAGCACCTAATATGCAGTACCTGTATGTACTCATTTATTATTATTATTGTATTCATAAAAATGCACAAAAATCCCTATGGCTCATACAATACTACAGCTGCAATAATTTTTCAAGATCATGAAATTTCAAAATAAACTAATTTTTTTTCTTTTGAAAGCATTTTTCTATAATTTTGCAGTTTTAAATTATATTTTCAATTATGTAAATGTAGCACATCAATTTAAATTTAGCTTGGATGTGTGCTCAATCTTTGCACTTATATGAAAGTTTAAAAATAGTCCTATAAAACTGAAATTATATTTAGTAGCAAGATAATCCAAAGATTGCTGTAATTTAGTAAATATTTTATTCCTAATGTTCTTTAATCCAATAAAAGCAACATTTAAAATAAATACTCAACTTATACTGTAACCCTTCACTTCTTTAAACTCATAATGAATGCAAATATCCCAACACAGTTCTTGTGTTAGTGATACTTTATAAGAATACATAGTAACAATAATAATAGCTACTTCTAAATTATAATTCGTAAATCAGTTAAATGTAGTTTCATTAAAGATTGAGAAATGTGTTTTGATGGCACAGCACATATAAGAATATTCGCAACTCACACTTTGGAGGGAAAATTACAGACAAAGTGTCTATCCATCCTGTATCATATCAAACTGCACATCTAAGACACTTTATAATGGTCAGGACAGACCAGAACACACACTCCTCCAAACTGTGGGTTACAGTATTGTGATTTTCCCTCAAAAGACTTGTGTAGTATGAACATGTAACCAGGAAATAAGTTGATATAAGCCCTAGTGTAACATGTCATCTTACAAACTATTCACACTAAGATATTTTTCCCCATTTTGTGCTATTATAAATTTATCTCTACCTTAAAACATTTAAATCTTGTGAATACATAGACTGCATAATAATTTTAAATGCATTTTCGTTGCCTATGAAAGGTGACAGACTTCGGCACTTAAAATTGCCTGTGATACCGACAACAGCTTTTTCTATTGGGTAAATGAGTGGCGGTAACTTGTATATGGAATTATTATTTTTAGTGCATATATTTTAAGATTTATTGCCTTTAAATATTGGGCGATGCTTTGCTCATAAAGAGGTTCACAGAGTAATCACTGTACTTGGGTCTTGAGCCTCAATATTCTGTAATGGGTATAATATCAAAATACACCTGACTACCCCTTTTTTGTAAGTCATGTGAGTTTTCTCATCGCAAATATATTTTATCACATTTGTAAAATATAACTTTTTTAAACCTATAACATATATTTGCAGTCAGTATGACGCATTCAGTGGCTTATCTTTATAACCCATTACCTAGTGCTGTTTATAACATGTGGCTTTTAAGATACCAGACGGACAGCTCCTCCCTCTCTCATTACTTGGTACATTACCATCTAGCTCACTTGTAAGAATATACCTTTTAAGTGCCAATATAAGGAACTCTGTATGTTAGGATAATACTCTATTAATCTACATCACAATATACAAAACCTGTATGGAGAATTGTCTACATCATCATTATCAATGCTTTAACTACAGTATTTCCAGTAGTCGAGATAAATGCTCATAGAAAACCTTTTGAATATATTATTTTCATTTCTTGTTGTATAATTTTAGTCAAGTAATAACCTGATGAATAACCCAAAAACAACTATTTTAATAAAATGAGTAGTGAAGAAAGTACTTCAAAGCCAGAGGGCTAGAACCAGTTAAATAATGAATTAGAAAAATTATGTTAAACATGCATCTCGGTAGTGCAGTGGTTCTAAGTCACAAAATAATAATGCAGCAAAAGAACCACTAGTGTAATAATAATGCTTAAAAGATT